AATTCCTGAGCTCAAACAATCCGCCCGCCTCGGCCTCCCAGAGAGCTAGGATTACAGGCGTGACCTCTGTTCTTAAAGTTAAGGGGGTTAGCCAGTTTGGCCCCTAAAGAATTATTTTGAGTTAAATAATTCTGACATTTGTAATTGGGAAGGAAACTTAGGGAGAAATGAATATTAACGATGGCTTTAGCACATATTTTGTGTACAAAATGGGGAAGAGGATAAATAAAACCCTAAATCCAATAATGATGTTAAAAATTAATTCACAGAGTAGTGAAGCAGGCAGGCATTTTTATAGGGTAGAAGAAGCAGTGATTTTGGGGTGAGAGTTGGGTTGAAATCACAGTTCTGCTACTTCTTGAGACCTTCAATAGGTATCTGAATTTCTCCGAGCCCTAGTCTCCTTTTTTGTAAAATGAAGATAATAATGGTACTATCTTGTAGGGTTGTGGTGAGCATTAAATAATATATGTAGAATGTCAAGCTCCATAAAACACAGGTGTTAATCCTTCAGGACAGGTGAAACCTAGGTTTAATGAGAAGGTGTTGACTGCTGATTAGGAAAGATAACCATGAGTATTAACAGATACCCTAATCAGGGAAAACAGTGGCTTCTCTTTAGACCCAGATCAAAAGCCTTAGGCCACATTCTCTGAGATTCAGAGGCTTATTTGCAAAGAAGCTACTCTTCACATGGGCAGCCCTTTGTAGACTGTTCCAGCATGAGAAGCAGTAGATATTAATTTATTTTATAGTGATTATTAGATTTCTTGAGCAATGCAATGTAAGTCAGCTCATTACATATAATATTACACCTAAAAATATATCAACAAAATTACCAAAGAGTTGAGGCAATACTGAGGCACCATCAGAGTAGGCTATATACTTCCACTGGTTAGTTCGAAGCATGTAGATGGAAGCATTCACATTACATCCATGGAATTCACTCAGAACCCAGGGCGGATGTACATTTTTGAATTTATGTTCATTCTTAAATGTTTCTGATGATAATGGCAACAAAGAGTAGCCACTCAGGTTTTGAGGCAGAGGAATTTGCGCAATATCTATATAAGAAAAATAACAAAATATTTAAAAACTCATTCTTTTATTAGTTGAAAATACATAAATTACATAATTTACATTTTTTCATACCATTAAAAGCCACAGACTAGAGATTGTATATGGATTTTGTAAACAGACTGCCTAGATTCAAATGCTTACTCCGCTAGCCATGTGACCTTGCCCAAGTTATTCACTTCTCTGAACCTCAGTTTTCTCACCTGTAACACAGGGACAGTAACTGCTTGTATCTCATAGGCTCATTTTAGGTTTAAATAAGATGATTTATGTAAAATTCTGAGACATAGAAGATCTCAACAAATATTAGTTAATATCACCAGTCTTTTTTTTTCCTAAATGATTCAATAGTCATAGTTCTTAAATTTTTTTTTTTTTTAGTTCTTAAAATTTTTTCCGTGGAATGTTAACAAGACCTATATAAGAAAGGGATTTAGTAGTCGTATACATTTGCAAAACAATGGTTAAACAAAATTAAATAGTAAATTTATTGTAGATGTAAATGTATTGCTGATGTACATTATAAACCTTCAAGACTGGTATACAGTATACCATGTGTCCCAAAGTTATTTGATGATAGAACTTTTTTTTTTACTCTCAAGTAGCATCTTGAGGGACTAGTACTTTGCAAAACATGCCTTGAGGAATCCTGGATTATACTGCTATAGGGAAAAGTAATTTATTTTTAATGTATCAAATATAGACACAAAGAACAATAGCAAGAGAAATGTCCAACTTAAAAACAGATTGTATTTGTAAAAACTGCTTTTCAGGTATTTGTTTGGAACTCAAACTGCCTTTTTCCTATAGAAAAATTACCATTAATTATGGCTGGGTACTTAACGTAGAACCAAAATGAGTCTGCAGTTGCCTTACCCATCCCTTTTCTGGTTTCAATGTTCCATGTTTTTATGTATATTTAAATATTTCCAGTGAAAAACAGCATTGTATCAGTAATGTTAGAAATTATGCAAAACTGAATAAGAAAATTAGTTTAACTTGATTGTATCTGAGGAAAAACAGATTAATTAAAGGAGAATAAGAAAGTAGACAAAGACCTCTGTAAATCTTCTGAAGGTAATGTTTCGTACATCACTTAATTTAAAAATTTGTATCTTCCATTTTCCTTGGAAGAGGCAAATATAAACACTAATTTTCTGCCAACCAATCATAATTAGAAACTTTTTTTGATGTTAAGTAACTTGCCCAAGGTCACATAATTGGTAACTACTGAAGAGAGGTTTGAACTTAGGGAGTCTGACTCTAGAATTTCTGTACTTTTTAATACTACACCGTAAGTCTTACTTTACTATAGTTATTCAATTTCACAATATTTCTCAGCCAATAAAAAACACAATAGCCTACGCAGAATAACTGCCCACCTCCAGCCTTCCACTAAGATCCTATAACAAGAAGAGGTTGCAATTAAAATCACTAGCAATTAAGTATTCTTTTAAATACAACTGTATTTTTATATAATTACATACTCACAATTCAAAAAAATCTAGACTTTTAAGTAGGAAGAAGGTAGGTAGGTGTTTTACAAAAAGATAAACTATTGAAAGAAAAAATTCACATGAAAATAAGTTTAAAAATGAAAATCAAAACAATTTTAATTTCTCACTAACCTAAAGGATGCT